TAGTACCTGTAAATGGTACACTTGCTGCTACCTACTTACTAGTAACAAGGGAAAGTTTTAAATCTCACTCTGGTTTTTCCACACCTTGTGGTGTTATGTTGCTGTTACTATTAATACCGGTTGTTGGCTCCAGTTGTACTAAATTTGTGCAATTTCGTCTAAGCTCACGAGTTGCCAAGTTGATGTCACAATACTCTTACTGCTCCCTGGTCTCATTCGTTGTCGTTATTAATGGTGGTTAATAGAACAACGTTGACCTCTCGTTGCCACAACATGTCCGGTTGGGCGAAACCTGTAAGCAAACAAAAGCACATTTCAATGAAGCAGTGCTACATCAGGGCGACCGAATTTTCCCCTCCAGGAACGTTAGGATTTCCCAGCTTAATGATAATATTGCACCGTTAACGGCACTCTATAGATCTCTAAGGCCTGTTCTTGATCGAATTATAAAAAGCACCTGCCTTGTACGGGTAACGGATGTGATGAGTGGTAAAGGTACAGGGACGGCCGGATGTATCCTAAACACGCTCTACACAGAAAGCATTGGTAGACTGAACTCCGCAAACCAAGTAGTAAAATACAACGTCCCTGGTCAAGTTGAAGTGCATAAAGTTCGAAGGATATTAACGAAATTTTGTGAAATGCAACCATTTCTAATTGGTTGTACCAGGCTGAGGAAGAAGGTTTAGCGAACACACTATCCTCTCTTACGCACATTGATACTGTGGACTCAGAGTAAGATTATGGCTCGCCAGAGTCTTCTTTGGCATGTATTATATTCGTTGACCTAATGACGGCACTTCAACGTCACTGTGACGATCTCTATGCTACATGTGTGCCTATTCTCACGTTCTCTGGTCCCCAAGCGTGTGGCTAGGATGATGTAAACCATGCAATCTATAGTGCAGCCGAAACGACGAAGGCAAGTATGCCCGACTGTCAAGCTGGTATTATAAACTTAGCGAAGACGAATGCACTTGAACCAAATGCCGTAGAATTACCAGAAAACGGCAACGACACTGGGAACCCATCGGATATAACCCCAGTTAAGATCAAGAAGCACAACACCACAAACAATCAAAAATAAAACGGAAGTAATTGGTCCGAGAACTAAAAATATGAAAAACGTCTAACTAGACGGCCGGAAACCTCCGAAATATGCTCACCAGCAGCTTAACGAGCCAGGAATTCACAAAATTTAACAACGGCTTTCACCAGACACATGCCGAATGCTAAACGGGAAAGCCTCATTTTTACTAAAGTAAACTAGCCTGAAATCTTAGTGCACTGTACTCCGAATTCGCAAGCGACGTGTCCTGTGTCAGCGCTGTCATCCGCAACCGTGGAGCTTAAGTTAAGCCTGAACATTAAACTTGTGTGATTAACCAAAGTAAAGATAAATGCACTATTTAGATAAAATCGCGTCAGTTTCGGTAGATACCCTGCATCTGCCACCTACCATACCTCCATAAATTGATCTTCCTGATAATGTTAGAGGTTAGCTCCCCAAATCTCTGCTTGCTTTCAGAAATGTCACCATTACACCTGCTTGGCCGCATAGTCCTCCTTTCTGCCTAATCCAGCCTCGTCTGAGCTCTCTCGCCTGTTTTCTGACAGTTGCTAGGCGACTGAGGTATACTGACGCACGTTAGCAACTTAAACTGATCTTTCGTTTTCATTTGCTTTGACTGTCGTTCTTCCTCACATTTCCCTTAATCCTTCACAACCAGATGACACGCTTATTTGTTTGAGCCACTTATCCAACGCTCAACTCACCTGGTCTGTGTGTTGTCTGCCTGAAGCGTTCGTCTCGAATTGCCCCACTGCCTTTGCTGTTTCCTTGGCTCGCTTAGGCTATTGAGGCTTAAACGCCCGATTTACAGCAAATTCACCCGTGGTATACCACTTTTTAACCCTAACCAGGCTAAGCATCTTTTACACTACCTTTCCAAGCTCTATCATTGTGAGTCTATGCCAACCTGCCTGTTTACTCTGTTCTTGATCCCGCCTCACCCTGACCTTTTAAACCTAAGCATGCCGCCCTTGTATTAGTTCAGTAGCACATGACTCATCCAACCTTTCGTCTCCCTGACCTCGGTATATGACTTTCCTTAACTTTGTTTCAGCTTTTGACCCTGAATCTCGGCTTGCTTCCGCAAATGTCACCCCACATCTGCCGACCCGACTAGTATCTCCGTTCTGCCAAATCCAGTACTATCGGAGCTCTCACGCCTGTTTTCTTGCAGCTACTAGGCGACTGATGTATACTGACTCATGTTTGGAATTTCCACTTTTCTTCCAGTTTCCTTTGCTTTGACTTGCAGTTCCTCAGTGTCCCTCTAAAGCCCTTACAACCCCACGATACGCTTATTTGTTTGAGCCACTTATCCAACTCTCACCTCACCTGGCCCGCTTGTGGTCTGCCTGATGCATTCGTCACGAATTGCCCCAACGGCATTTGCTGTTTCCTTGTCATGGAGACTTAATAGCTTGGTTTACAGTAGAATCGTCCTTGGAAACTTTGGTTTTTCGTTTTTACTTATGCTTGTCACCCTCTTCTTTTTGTCCGCACTAATTCTCTCATTCCTACATCTAAGTATTAAGCATCCTTCGCCGGCGTCGATACTTTAGTTGGTCGCAGAACACAAAATACCAACTAGTTTTTGGCCTTTGCATTTTCAACACGCTGTAACATATGTGCCTTTTACATTCACACCACATGATGTCACAGGTTTTCCTGGGGGTCCCTGCTGCTCTCCTTTACTTTACTTTGCTCTTATCTCCCCGGAGTTCGGATGATATCAACCTAGACTTTCCAAGGATCCCACCCGGCCTATGGGCCTGCGACTGAATGACCATACAAAAACAAAAGTGGATCACATCAGGCCTCCCATTAACTCACTCACTTTCTGGTCTACTACCACTGGTCATTTGAATCTGGATGCCATATCCAGTGGATTGGATCAGCCGTAGCCTGCCTGCAACAACGCCTATAAAAATAGCTTGACAATGCTTACTTGAAGCAAATCGTAACTAGCTACCTGTGGTCCCGCCTGTCAAGTCTCCAATCACCCGCTTATGACTTGTCAGCAATCGCAGGCTGCTCAATCGACAAAGAAGATATGAATTCCTCGGGGTACCAACTGCTTAAGGACAGTGCTCCAGGACGTGGTGCGTTTTCGCCTGGCATGCGTTCTCCATATAAACAGAAACAAATGTCAGGTTAACAGCACTGTGACGAGGCGGACGTTACTAGCCTCTAACTAATATCACGGCCTCATGCTTACCCAACAAACCACACTCCAACCACAGACGTCACCCAACCTTTCTCACACTATCCAGGTGATCAAGCGCAATGGCAGTAGCACATATTCAAACTTGCATAACAGACAAACACATGCACTCCCACGTACGTGTATGTACTCCCAGCCCCAATGTTCATGGCTAACTTGCACCATCTTTTATATCCTTCCCGACATTAGTTATGCCTTTAATATGACCATGCCTACGTAGGCTTGTCTCGCATTGCAGGAGAATAAAGAATGTAGGCATTTATTTACTTGCATAAAATGCTGCATCGCATATAAAATTTGATAAACCGGCAGGTTCTGGGAGCTATCCCATACTGTTACTAGAAGAAATCAAAGGCCCTAGGAACCCTTTAGACATCTCCCATATCAGGATTCAGAAACACACCTCTGTTACAGCAAAAGCAACAATAATTTTACCGGAACTAGTCTGGCTGAGCCCCGAGGAAACGAAGGAGGTCGAACCAGACGGCCGGTGGCCTATGCTTGCATCTCACCAGTATCTCAGCAAGGCTCAAATATGCACAAATGTAATACAATCCGGTGTCAAATGGGTGCCGGTTGCTAAACGGAGAAGTCCAAACGTGCACCCGCAAACTTCGGCAGAAACTACAGTGCCCTGCACTCCGATTTCGCAAGTGCCATGGCAGGAACCATTGCCGTTATTTGCAGCTGTGTAGCACGTTACGAGACATACCACACTTGGGTACAACCTCCCCGACGGAGTCTTCATTGAGGTGTTCGAAGCAACGGTAGCCGCATCCTGCGGAATTAAAACGCATGAGCTGGAAGCTAACCTGCTTCCAAAGCGCAGCAGTTGTTACCCAGCCCCAAATAGGCTGAGCTCAGGCGAACGACTCACGTTACGCACTGCAATGTCCAAGTGTGGGCGAATTCGCCCGGGGACCTCTAACAACCAGATATATTTTGCTTCACCACTTCTAGGTGTTTCAGCTGAATCGGATATCTTCGCTGTTATTACTTCTTTCCTTGAGTTGTCGGCTTTTTATCCGTCCTGTCGTTTCTCGTGCTTGACATTTCCGCTTACGGCTTTCAGTACTTCCTTCGATATCATCCAATGCTGAGCATTCTGCGGTGCACCATTTTATCCCACTGCGAGTTCGTCGAGACAAGCCCCCTGTAGTTAAAGTGACGGCCCTTGATCAGCTTACGGTGGATACCTTCGCTCACCGTTCCGACTTTTGAAGGTGCATCACCACACAGCGCATTCCTTGCTTAGGAATTAAGACGTAGCGACCCTAGCAGCACATTTTCACTGCCGATTATTATTGCTAGGTCGCTAAATAACTAGATGCATATCCTTCGCTGTCTGGCATGTACGTCCGAACTAGATAATGTTTGCAGCACGGAAAGTGGTTCACGCCATATAATTGTGACCAGTCCTCTCTCTATGAATATGGTCTCTTTTCGCAATGTCGCTTACACAAGAGAGGTGGTGAGCACGCTATATATATCAAGGAGGCTTTCTCAGCCTTCACACTTCAGCTTCAAAACTTTATTGGAGGGGACAATGGAACAATGGAACAATGGATTTATGCGGGTATAAAAGCTAAAGCTTGACAAATCCCGTAGGGTGATCAGTGCGAAAGCATAGAAGTGTGAAAAATTCAATGGAAACCAATTCAGTAAAATCGTTTAACACCGAGTCACTACAAGCTTGTGGACTCAGCCAGTTTGAAGTGTCAAAATAATAGTCCACTATAACTCCGGAGGGGACCATGAGGTATGGAGTATTTGGTTAAAAGGGTCACCGCCCTTGAAATTCGCATGGCGCAAAGTGTTTGAGTTTGAAGCGTCAAAATATAAATCCACCTTTGAAATAAGCGTGAGGGAAAATTATTTTTATAGTATGGATTTTGGATCTCTCAAAATTAGACTGTACTATGGGAGATAGTGCAATGAAGTGAGTGCACTGTCAACTCGATTTTTGAACTCGATCAGGTTTGGTGCACTGACTACAGATTCTGGGAGAGCATTCCAGGCTTGGCAAACACGCACGGAAGTAATTCCGTCGACATTCCAAACGGCTGTACTGCACTGCCAGCTTCAGATGATGGCCTCTCAGGGCGTTGTTGTTACTGAGCTCCAGCAGATGGCGGCAGGTATGATTGGGGTCTGTCAGAATCTGATAAGCCGAAATCAAATCTCCCCGCAGTCTTCGATATTGACCACTAAATATCCCGAGCGATCTCAGTCTGTCTTCGTAGCGTAACTGGTCTAAACCTTTCACGTTCTTCGTTGCGCGTCGTTGAGGTTTCTCTAAATCAGAGAGGTCTTTCCTCAGCCACGGCTGCCAGACTTGTATTGCATACTCCACGCGTGGTCGCATGTATGCACCTAGAAGTTGGTGAAAAACGGATGGATCGAAGCGTCCAAATGTGCGCCGAAGAAGGCCCAAATTTCGGATGCTCGCGTTCGATGCTTTCTTTGCCTGGGCTGAACAACCAAGGTCGGACTGAATCAAGACTCCCAAAGCCTTTTCCTCAGCAGTTGTGTGAAGCACATGGTCACACAATTTATAGAAAATGCTGATTGGTGACGTAAGTGTAATACTCTGCATTTTTCTGTGTTGAATGGGAGTTGGTTCTGAACTGACCACGCATACACCTTATCCAGATCCTCTTGAAGTATTGCGGAGTCGTCTGGTGTATTGATCGCTCTCCAGACCTTGATGTCGTCGGCATAGAGTAGTCAGTTGGAAAGGATGAGGGCCGCTATGTCGTCAATATGCATCAAAAACAATCGTGGCCCCAGTACCGATCCTTGTGGTATACCACATTCGACTTGGATTGGGTGGGACAGGGACCCACGCACTTTTACCTCTAAGCTCCGGTGGAGAAGAAAGCTTGTGATCCATCCTAGGAGCGGATCACCAATGCCGAAGCTCTGAAGTTTGCAGATCAGGATTCCATGGTCTAGTCGATCGAAGGCCTTTGAGAAATCTAGGTAGACCACGTCCACTCATGCACCGCTGTCAATTAATTTGGTCCAACTCGATCTTGCTAGCAGCAGATTTGTGGTGCACGATCGATTCCGTTGAAACCATGCTGTTCATGTGCAAGGAAGGCAGACTCTTCTAGCTAGGCTGTTAATACGTCAGCAACACTAGCTTCCATAATCTTCGACAGGACCGGGAGAAGGGTTACAGGACGGTAGTTGGCCGGATCAGAACGGCTACCGCCCTTGTGAATTGGGGTTATGATCCCACATTTCCACATCTCGGGTACATACATCTGATCGAAGCAGCGTTGGAAGAATCGTGAGAGGCTCTGCTAAATTTTCTCCCATTACCGCAAGGGACTTAGGGTGAATGTTGTCGATTCCAGGAGAGCTGTGCTTACGCATACACAACAACTTCTTTAATACCATCCCCGCCGTGAAAGTTATGTGCGTAAGTTTTGGTTGTATAACAGCTGCTGACAAAGGAACAGATGGCCAAGGAATGCATTGAAAGTTCGAAGCATATTGCAGCCGCAAGGCGTTCGCCGCATCCTCCGTAGTCAGCGTCATGCCATCTGGCGTTTGAAGAGGAGGGATTCCTCGTTTCACCTTGCGCAGGTTGTTTACATGTTGGTAGAGCAGCTTAAGATTCGAAACCATGCGCTCCATCAGATGCTGCTGGTATGTCAGTTTATCCTCACGAACGAGTTGAGTGCAATGATTACGTCGAATTGCATAGGCCGTCCAGCTCTCCGTGCTCGGGTGTTCCTTATAGATATGCCAGGCCGAGTTCCTCACTGCCATACATTTCCGTGTCCTACTTCGCACAAATGAAACAGTCTTCTTCGAGTGGACAACCTTAGTTTCGGATGCCTCTTCGACGAGAGTGCTAAATTGGTTGACGAAATGTGGCTATGCGATTGTCGGTACTTCGTCTGTCAGAAAGTTCCAGTTGGCTGTCTCTGCAAGTCGAGCCAGCTCATCGTACCGTATGATAACTCGGCTTTCCCGTGTAGTATCCGCAGGGTATTCTGCGTAGCATATATAATCGAAGAGTAAAACTGCATGATCGCTGCAACCCAAAGGAGCGTCGATGATTACTTTCTCGACCATGAGTTCTTCGTTGCTAAATATCCGGTCCAGGATGGACGGCCTTTCTGCTGCTCTGAATCTGGTGGGATTGTCGATATGGCCATAAAGCGGAAAACTGGAGACAAGGTCATGTAGATCCGCTTTGAACTGTTCCGTAGATGTTGCTTGGGCATCCAGAGCGTGGATATTGAAGTCACCAGCGATAAGAATATGGCTGTATCTCTTGCTGATCACAAGCCTCAGCGCAGACGCGAGGTTGAAGTCCATCTCGGGTGTAGAGGATGGAGGTCGATAAACGACCGCCACCAGACAGACGTCGTTGCCTGTTAAACGCAGCCGACACCAAAGAGTATCCTGCACGTTACTGTACACGTCTTCTATGGCTCACATTGGAGGTCACTGCGGTAGTACAGAGCCACCCCGCCCCATTTACTGGATCGATCGCGCCGAACGACGGACATGCCTGGTAGCTCGACCTCCGTGTCTGTGATATCCGGGCGCAACCACGTCTCCGTTATAGCGACGAGGTCACAGGATTTGGACCTTTGACGTAGTCGCAGTTCGGGTAGTTTGTTAATTAGACTTTGAGCATCAGTGTACATACAGGACAGCTGCTTGAGCACCAAAGGAGCTTGTGGAGGATTACACGAAGTTGGATTCAAGCCGGCCGATGAAAGGCCGGCACCTGACCGTTTTTTGCGCAGTTTATCGATGAACATTTTTCACGGGCCTGCAGCCAACCTAACGTCGTTCCTGCACACGCAGAGCGCTCTTCAATAGCGTCGTTTTCAGTGGTTGATAATCTTGATGCAATGTCTTCGGCTCCGTTTATTTTATCACATCGAGCCACAGATGGTGTCACATCCTCCGGTGGCTTCGATTCAATAAATGGTACCCTAAATCGTAGTTCCGATGGCAGTGCATTGTGCATTTTATGCCAGTTACGCATTAAGTTCGCCGCCATCTGCTGGGACTGAGCCACAAGTTTCAGTATCCTTGGACCATTACCTTTGTGAATAGGTGAAACGGGCAGTCTAGAAATCGACTGAAGGATGACGTCACCTGCAGATAGAGTTTCACGGATGTACCGCCATTCTTCCAGATCATGAGCATGAGCCTCCTCGTCCTAGCTGTTGCTAGCTCGGGCCCGCCATGAACTAAAATGGTTTTGCACCAGCTGGCCGTGTTGCGGTCGTCTAAATTGTTTTTTTCTCGCTGACGTTCACTCCATGGAACATCCAGAAAGATGCGGATCTTACTGTCTTCACCTCAGAGGTGATATGCCGATAATAGCACCGCCTCTACATCGTCAGTGGATGCCAGTGTTATCCGCAGAATTCTGGGCTCACCATAGTGAGCGGAGTTTGGATGTCTCGTCACACGCCTGATGTTAGTCGGCTTGACCCTAGCACCTATGCGATCGCAAATGAGATTCCACTGGTTCAAATGGTCCTGTTGCTACCTCTCAGAGAATTTGCTTTGGATTCAGGAACGTTGGTGCATATGAGTGTTAGAGCACCGCGTTAGAGCATGCGTTCCTGTCGAAGTTTATGGGATTTCGTTGTTCCTTTGTTTTATCTATTTGGCGCCCGATAGTTCAATCACTAATTATAACGCGCTTTTGGGGGACTTGAACAAGTCTTGAACCCCTAGGATGATTGCAAACTGATTGCCGGCTGTTTAAACATGCCAGGTGTCAACTGGCTTACACCAATCGCGCCAGCAAAGTAGGCAAGTCTACTCGCTCGTATAAACTTGGGTGGATGGACGCAACATGTTCCTCAACGGACTGGGGAGAAACATAGGTTGGATGTGGTATTCAGTTTGTATATCTCGGACGTAATAGCAGAAGTGACCCATGAGTTCTCTGAAAGTGACCACAGGGTCGTTCCTTGCTTAATATGGTTGGATGGCCAACACGGACCGTTAAGCACAATCCAGTGTGAGTTCGTCATCCGCGTCGCTCAATAAATTTGTCTAGCTTTTCAACCCTCTTAAGAGGCAGCAACTGGAACGTATTGTTTCTTAACGATGCCGTAGATGCATCAACCAAATTATGTTGTACTGGGTTGTTAGGTGTCCTGGATTTAAAAGCTACTGTACCAGGTCCAAATGAAGGACCTTCAGGATGCTGGTTTTCCAGTCAAACACGCAAGCAAAATACAAACACTGCGGAGGAAATACTCTAAAACTCCAACTTTCAACTGCGTAGTGATGGTGAACGCTTTGGACTTAGAAGTTAAAAGCAAATTCGGCCACGTCAGATCCGTCAGGAACGCAGTGCATTAGAGTGCGGAAGCAAATCTCGAGCCAGACAACATGGACGGACGCTCCTACTATACGTAGTATAAGAATTGAAGCGGCCAACACTACCACTGACCAGCGAATAATAAAGAAAGAAATAAATAAATGGTATATTCGCGGTAAAATGCGACTCACTGTATTAGCTCAAAACGTCAGTTTGTATTTTTAAGGAAACCTGGGACCAAAGGGCCATTAAGAAGAACTACCGAAACATGGAACCTCATTTAGTTTGACGTTAAAACTATACGGTCGGTAATAGCAGCAAGCAGGCTGTCCATTCACCATGGTCCAGATGGAATACCACACATGCTAATAAAAATAATTCCGGTTAAGCTATTCCTTACCTACTCCTGAAAATTTTCACCTTATACATGTCGCGTATCGCGTACACTAAAGTTAGGAGACACTCCATTATTATGCCACGTCACAAATGGGATGGATGCAAAGTGATGGCACTGACCGCCCTGTAAACCACATCTCCATTAAATCCCGTTTAATGATGTGACTAGTGAAAAAGGATATTTGAGGTGGTCTGTAGGGGATGGCGGCATCGATAAGTCCCAGCATAGGTTCCTCATGGCATGATCCCGTGCGACTTGACAAATAGCGTTTTGACTTTATCACGGAAGCCATGGATTCTGAGAAAGCGGTATTAACATTGTATCATGATATGCAAGTAGCATTCGCTCGAGTTCATCGTCGTCGCCTAATGAATAAGTTTAGAGACTTTGGCATATGACAGCCTCTGTTAAATTGGCTTCGCTCCTATATTAATCAACGTACACAATCGGTTAAATGAGTGGGGTTGAATCGACTACCACAGACGTTACAAATGCTGTTTTCAAGGCATTATACTAGGTCGGCTCTTCTCCTACTGTACGTAAACGCCTCATGTGACGTTTTACTTAGCGGTCACCCCGTTCTCTTTGCATGTGGTGTAAAAGCCCTCTATAGCTTTCAACCAAATGACCTAGCACCTGAGCTATGCCAAATAGACAAGGACGTAGCAGTCTTAGCGTCGTGGCGTCATAACTGGCAGATGCTATTCTCAGCTGCAAAACCTAGCATACTTTTAAAAATGCAGCATACCTCTCCGGAACTTAACTACCTGTAATACCATCGTAACAACGAGCACCACAGTGAAGGACCTAGGATTGCGTTATTCCAATAGCTTGAACTTTACCAAACAACTACGGTTTGGTGTAGTCAAAGCACAACTGTAGCCTGTCACATGAGCCGACCCATTTACACTGCTGAAGCAAGCTTAGAACTCTACAGAATGTGTACCCGTCCTCAACCGGAATAGTGCACCATTCTACGTAGCATCCTAAGGAAGTCTGCCCGGGTCCTACTTAAAACCCAGTAACACATAACTAGGAGGCTCCTTAATGAAATTTAATGGATAGCTTGCAACGTGCGATGCATTCATCTCAAAGTCAAACCACTTTGGTTGCGTCGCATGCAACTTAAACATTGCTTTTACATAAACTTGCTTACAAAAGGGCATATAATGCACTCACACGCTTACAGCTAACCACTAGGTCGACATTCAACTAGCGTACTAAGAATAGCACCATCGCACCCTTGACGTCCAGGAAAAATGCACACTCATTTACGCACAATATTTTCTGTGAAGCTATGTAATAAAGTACCTAAGAGTCTTAGGGGTTGTACACATCCAATACGCAGCAAGGGGACGCAGGAAACTTTCTTACCATTGAAGAGGTGAAGCCCATGCTTTACATTCGTAACACTGATAAAAACGTATTTGTAGCAGGCACCGATGGTATCTAACGCCATCTTCATCACAAAATTTTCAAAAGTGAAAAGTCGCATATGACGCTACGGCCTCATTTTGCATAACCTGGCATTACCATAGGAAGTAAACAAGGAACTCATCGATTTGTTACACAGATATCCTAAGCAGGACCTGCAACTACGTCTCGGACCAAAATAGCTATCGAACTATAAATACATAGTAATGTTCACAAAAAGTAAAAGTATCGTGGCAAAACTAATAAAGTTTAATCAATAGTTGAGCAATACGAATTACTGTACGTTCGGCGCGAAATACGTCTTACAGAGAAGGGCAAATAAATCCTCTTAGTTCTTTATGATGAAAAAGCAATATTTTTGGCAATAAAACTTTTAATAATTGTGCGTCCAAAAATAGATTGGGGTGCTAAATGAAGATAAAAATGCGGTTGATAACAAATCCCAAAATAACGGAGTTTCTTTTCCTTTATCGCACTGCAACTCGAAAACATGATACACACTGCTAACCTTCCTCTGTCTTATTTTTACATGGCAATCCTCGAGTGCTACCTTTGGATCCAAGCAAACAATGGAGAAAACTGCAACTTACTTTTGGATGGGACGATCCGTTCTCGGAACGCAATATCGATTATCGATCAAAACATTCACAGAGAAGCTGTGTATTTTGCGAGTTATACGTTTTAAACCCAAATAACCTCGGGTTTGATGACCACTTCTTTTATATTATATTTCAATTGAATTCATGTCCTGCCAGTAGTACGCTGCACCGCGCTTATTTGAAGTGCCAAACAAACTTGATTTCTAGGCCAACTACCGTTGAAACTCGTTTTTGAATAAATACGAAGAAGAAAATTTGACTTTTAGCAAATTCTCTCCCTATATCATGAAGCGTTCCAGTAAACGCTTGCAACAAAATTTGACTGTTGCCAACTTATTTCTTCGAAATTATGACGTCAAATTAGGTTGACTGTGGCAAAGGTGGCGTCTCCCGGTCAAAAGCCGTCCAGTGCACCCTGTGCGAGAGTCGGGTGCACACAGGGTGCTGTAACCTTGGCCGAGGTCTCTACCACTGCCATCAGCAAGCTGACTATAAAGGCATAAGCTTTCCCCGCACTCTGAGTCTTGCACCGGTTAGCGACAGAAACATCCTGTTGTGCTTACCCCAGCCGAGCTGACCTACTGCTCATGCGCAAGCTCTGTCTAACAGACTGCGAAACTCCTATTTCATCTGTGTGCCTGCCGG